GCATCACGCTGCCAGACTCAATGCTAACTGCCAAAGTAAAAGACACAGCCTCACTCTCAAGGACTTTATCATTCAGCTGGATGTAAACAAATTACAATACATTGCGATGAACATGTGACTATATATATTAAAGATATAAAGGGGGGCAAGGGGGGAGATATAAAGAAAAAATATTCAACCCTAGCCGGTTTGGCTCAGTGGATAGAGCATCAGCCTGTGGACTGAAAGGTACTGGGTTCAATTCCGGTCAAGGGTACATGCCATGGTTGCAGGCTCCTCCTGGCCCGGGCCCTGGCCAGGGCTCATGCATGAGGCAACCAATCGATGTGTTTCTCTCGCATCGATGTTTCTCTCTGTCTTTTCCTCTCTCTTCCACTCTCCCTGAAAATCAATGGAAAAATATCCTCGGGTAAGGATTAAAAATAAATAAATATAAGCAAAAGGAAAAATTGGAGGTGGGGACAAAGGGGGGGGGTATTATGGAAGGCCGCCTGAAGCTCACACAATAGGCTAAGATTTACCAAGTGGCCCAGAGAGGGGAGGACACTGCAAACAGAAGGAACAGCATGTATACAGCACAACAGGGACTCTCCCAGGAACCTGAAACACTTGGATATGGCTGTGCATTTCACTGGGGAGAGTGGCAGGAGATGAGGCTACACAGATAGGACAGAACTAAATCTTAACAGGCTGTAATTCTATACTGAGGAGTTTATAGTGTATCCTAGAAGCAATTAGGAAGGTGGATAGATCAAGGGATAGATGTCAAGTTTGTGTTTTAGAAAGAACCTACTGCCAGCTGGGTATATACACAAGAACTGGTTATATTTTCAATTCTTTTCTGTGTGTTTTATTTATTTTTTAATCCTTACCTGAGGATATTTTTCCATTGATTTTTAGGGAGAGGGGAAGACAGAGAGAAATATCGATGTGAAAGAAACACGTCGACTGGTTGCCTCCTGCACACGCCCCAACCAGGGCCCAAGCCAGGGAGGAGCCTGCAGGCAAGCTATGTACCCTTGACCGAAATCGAAGCCCGGTACCTTTTGGTCCTTAGGCCAATGCTCTATCCACTGAGCCAAACCGGCTAGAGCTCTGTGTGTTTTATATCAATTTTTAAAAAATATATATTTGCATTGATTTCAGAGAGGAAGGGAGCGGAGAGAGAGAGAGAAACATCATGATGAGAGAGAATCATTAATCGGCCGCCTCCCGCACGCCCCTTACCCACACGAGCCTGCAACCCGGACATGTGCCCTTGACTGGAATTGAACCTGGGACCTTTCAGTCCGCAGGCTGACACTCTATCCACTGAGCCAAACCAGCTTGGGCTTATAACAATTAAAGAAAACCCCTCAACTAGCAGGACAGAGAGGGTCTGCAGGGGAGCAAAGCTGGCTACAGGGGCCCGTGGGAGCCCTTGGTCTACAGGAGAAGAGATAAAAGAACTAAGAGTGGTGGAAGGAAATGAGAGGAGTGGCCTCAGAGGAACGGTCAGGAGCTGAAATCCACAGGACCCAGGGAGGGGCTGGGCGTGAGGGATGAGAGAGAGGGCGGAATCCAGCATGGCTACCAGGTTTCTGGGGTGGGTAACGAGAAGGAAGCATTCTTCGAAAATGTAGATAGAGGTGGATGAACAGGTTCAGGAAGAAAGGTGAACACACATCACATTTACACATGTGCTGGAGAGGCCTGTCGGACATCCGGATAGAAATTTCTAGTAAGCAGGAATATTTATGAGTCTGAAGCTCGGGTATCATGGATGGCTGGAGACATCAGCACAGAGCTGGAAGCCATAAAAGAGACTGAGTCTGTATAGGTAACGTAAGGAGCGCGTAGATGGGGCTATGGGGACACCAAAGTTTAGGAACAAGCAAGGGAATGAGGAGTTGGCCAGAGAGAAAGAGATAGAGAAGAAATAGTGACCCAGGGCAGAGGAGAATCGCGAGTTAAATAAACTGAAGGTATTACATAAACGGAAGATTTGAGAGAAACGATCGTTGAATTTGGCCCTAGTTCAACTCTGCCCTAGTGAACTTTGCCACAGTGGTTTCAGTGGCCTGTCTGGGGGCAAGAGCAAGGCTGCACTGGACAGGAAGGGGGAGGGGACCCTGCTCTTTGTTAAGAGACTCCCAGTGCGGAGAAAGGAGATCCGAGATACTTGGCGGAGAACACGGGATTGAGGGCAGGGTATCGGTTTTGTTTTGAGACTGGAGAAACTTGAGCAAACTTACATGGGGGGGGGGGGGGAGCCAGGAAAGAGGGAGAGTTGAAAACAGAGAAGAGAGAAGGAATAACTGCAGGACCAACGCCCAGAAGAACAGTGAGCGCACCGGCCAAAGACACACAGCAGCAGATTGAAAGACAGAAGGTGAAAGGGGTCAGGAAGAGGTCACACTGTAGGGATGGGATTGGGAAACAGAGGGAATTGATGCCAGAGCCTCAATTTTATCTGTGAAATAGGAAACTAAGTGAAAAAAAAGAAGGCCCAGAGGGGTGGGTGGTGACTTGCATAACTGTTGGTCTGCAAACTGGCTCCCATACAGTGAGGGGAAGGAAAGATGAAAAAAGAGGCAGATCATACCATATTGGTGGTGGTTTGTGTGTGTGTGTGTCTTTTTAATATATTTTTATTGATTTCAGAGAGGAAGGGAGAGGGAGAGATAGAAACATCAGTGATGAGAATCATTGATTGGCTGCCTCCTGTATGCCCCACACTGGGGATCGAGCCCGAAACCTTAGCATGTGCCCTTGACCGAAATGGCATCCCGGGACCCTTCAGTCTGCAACAGACGCTCTATCCACTGAGCCAAACCGGCTAGGGCAGTGGTGGTTTTAATAAGCCAGGTAACTTACATACGAGGCTTGTCATGGCAACTGCAAGATGAGCGGATCTCTGCACCACCCACCCAAATCTTAAAAGTTTATACAGAGGCCTTCACTGGGTTCCGTCCAGATGGTCTCACCAGCAGCTCACTCCCTCACAGCTGTGTCCTTGAAAATGGCTCTGGCTGTGGGGGCGGTGGTCAGAACATATGTTCCAAGGACAGGGGAGGAGGGGAGGAGCCTCAGACTGTGGGGGTCCAGCTCCCGTGTCAACCGCTGGTCACGTCCTCTCAGTGATCTCCTCCAGCAACAACCCACAGGGAGTCCGTCCAGTGTCTGGACTCCTTGCCTGATGCTCCTTCTATTCCCTCTGCTATACTCACTTATGTTGAAGATACCTTGCATCCCTTGAATGCCTTTTTCTAAATGGGGTTTTTTGTACTTCCCTTTGAAAGACTATAGGCAAAAGGGACGTATGTAACACTTGCAACAATAAAGAATTATTTTTTAAAAATTATAAATAAATAAATAAATAGGTAATAAAAAATGAAGACTACTAGGCAAGGCTGACTTTACACACATGTAGACCAGGCCGCCAGTCACCAAGGACAATGAACTCGCCAAGACCCTGGACTGAGGCCCAGAAGACATTTCCCTCTAGAATGGGGATGACGGCAGAAGCTCACTCTCAGATCAGGATTCTGACCTAGTCATGCCACTTCAGAGTGCCTGGGCAGCGGTTCTCAACCTGTGGGTCGCGACCCCTTTGGGGGTCGAACGACCCTTTCACAGGGGTCGCCTACGACCATCAGAAAACACATATATAATTACATATTATTTTTGTGATTAATCACTATGCTTTAATTATGTTCAATTTGTAACAATGAAATTGGGGGTCACCCCAACATGAGGAATTGTATTAAAGGGTCGCGGCTTTCGGAAGGTTGAGAACCACTGGCTTAGAGAATGCTTTTTAACACGCAAACTGTGATGATGGCTTCAGTGAAGAAGATTCTGGAAAATTACCTGGAGGAGAGATATTGGCAGTTTGTGGGAAGGAGTGGTTGAGAGTCAATTCAAGTAAATTCACAAGTCTCTTGGCCTCTCTGCCCATGTCCAAGGTCCCTTCTCACTGTAACATATTTGATGAAGACGTGGGTCGGATCAAGGTACTGAAGTAGATTACTACAGCCAGCCCATGGAGCATACCAAGTGGCCACAAAAAGTGAAGGAAGGACATAAATATTAGTACCATTATTTGCTTTGGATGGGCCCTGCCAAATGAAATAGAAATCGGCAGATATTGTGTAACTCAAGTCCAATCGCTTCCCCTTAGAAAACATAGTTTGTGTCATTATTTATGTAACAAACATTAGGGAAAAGGAGAGGAAAATACCTTCATACCACAATCACAGATTTTAGAATAGGAAAGACTGGTTCCAACCCATTAAGCCCAATCCACGACTTTTTCTTCCCCAAGATTGTTCATCTTCCCTTCTGTAATTTCTTCAACGATAGTAACTGGCTTCTATGGTAAACAGTAATACTCAGGCAGCAAAGAAACTGGTAACCAGCACTGGCTTGCTTCCTGCACTCTCCTGAAAGTAGTCCCTGACACAAAGAACTCCTTATGTGGGAGGATGACACCGAGGTAGAGAACTGGATTAAAATCTTGTAGAATCTGTTCAAAACAATTCCATGTAACCAGAGCCACAGGAGTACAGACGTGAATCCAAACCAATGCCTCACAGCCCTAGCCAGTTTGGCTCAGTGGATAGAGCGTTAGCCTGCTGACCAAAGGGTCCCAGGTTCGATTCTGGTCAAGAGCAGGTACCTTGGTTGCAGGCTCCTCCCCGGCCTGGGCCCTGATAGGGGCTCGTGCAGGAGGCAACCAATCAATGTGTATCTCTCACATTGATGTTTCTCTGTCTTTCCCTCTTTCTCCCTTTCTCCCTAAAAATCAATGGGGGAAAAAAATATCCTTGGGCGAGGATTAATTAAACCAATGCCTCATATAACCTGAAATATTTTCTTAGATACAAGATACAAGAACTTCATGTAAGATACAAGAACTCTATCACAAGCTAGGGATCAGCCATATGACCTGGGTCCTACCTATGAGATGTACCTTCAAGAGGATTTTTCAGAGAGGCGCAATGTGAGGAGACAGGTACCTTGTGGAGTTCACTTTCTGGTGGAGAAGCTGCCGGAACAGAGCCTCTGCCTTCTGGGGGTCCACTCCCACTGTGCAGTCGGAGAGCCTGGGCTGTGCAGCCGCAGTAAAGTCGCTTAGTGTGGCTAAAGATTTGTGGAGTAGGAAATGAAAAGGAGAAAAACAGTGCTTCACCGAGGAAAAAGCAAGGCCTTTGGAAGTATCAGGCTTGATCAAAGTCCTGCTGCCACTTACCAGCTGTGCCCTTGAATAAATCATATGCCCTCCTCAGCCTCAGTTTAACCCTCTTTAAAACGGTCATTGTCCAAGGTCCCTCGCTGCCTCTGAAAGCAGGGCTCTCTCCATGCCAGGATTCGCCAGGCCTACTGGTGGTCTACTCCACCTCCAGATCCCTGGGTCAAAGTGAGGCTTAAAAGCATGGATAAAATTAAGTTAATTTATGAAGTGGCTAGAAGAAAAAACACTGAGATGTAGCGCTAGTAACAGAGATAGCAAAGTCACCTGACAACGGGCGATCTTCTGCATGTGCATCAACAGGCCCAAGGACATGACTCTGCAGCAGAATATCATAACTGGTGATAACAATGACCTTGAGTTGCCAAGAAAAGATCAATTTATGCCAAAACCAGGGCATTAAAATACTCTTGTTTTGGCATAAAAGTAAGTACTACATTCTATGTATACTTCCATCAAAAGTGGTTCCAGCCGAACCGGTTTGGCTCAGTGGATAGAGCGTCGGCCTGCGGACTCAAGGGTCCCGGGTTCGATTCCGGTCAAGGGCATGTACCCTGGTTGCGGGCACATCCCCAGTGGGGGGCGTGCAGGAGGCAGCTGATCGATCTCTCTCATCGATGTTTCTGACTCTCTATCCCTCTCCCTTCTTCTCTGTAAAAAGTCAATAAAATATATTTAAAAAAAAAAAAAAAGTGGTTCCAGCCCTGGCTGGTGTGGCTCAGTTGTGGAGTGTTGTCCTGTGCACCAAAAGGTTGCTGGTTCAATTCCCAGTCAGGGCCACATGCCCAGGCTGTGGACTCAATCCCCGGTAAGTGGCACGCAGGAGGCAGCTGATCCGTCATTGTTTCTCTTTTTCTCTCCCTCTCCCTTCCTCTCTCTCCAAAAACATAAATGAGTATTTTTTTTAAAATGGTTCCGCCCTAACCGGTTTGGTTCAGAGGATAGAGCGTCAGCCTGCGGACTCAAGGGTCCCAGGTTCAATTCTGGTCAAGGGCATCAGGTTCGATTCTGGTCAAGGGCATGTACCTTGGTTACGGGCACAACCCCAGTGGGGGGTGTGCAGGAGGCAGCTGATCGATGTTTCTCTCTCATCGATGTTTCTAACTCTCTTTCCCTCTCCCTTCCTCTCTAAAAAATCAATAAAATCTATTTTTTTTTAAAAGAAATGGTTCCAATGAAAATGTTTTTGATGTTTAAAGGCTAAGAGTCAGTTATCTGGAAAATTTCTATTCGTGGAACAGATTATCTCTCAGAAAATGAGATGGAATAACTGATAAAATACCATAATATGAGAGAACACTATGGACAAAAATAGTTTCATTTGAAAATTGGCTGGAGTACCTAGAATTTTTCACAGAAACTCCCAGAAGCCAAGCTCCCAAGTGCCATTTATGAATTAAAAGAAAAGAAATACACACTTTTCTGTGTGAGTCCCGATCACCTAGAAATAATGCCATCACCAGCTGGCCGTCAGTCACTCTCCTTTTTCCTGACACCTGTCTCCTGATACTAGGCTGGGAGGCATTTTCCTGAGTTTTTCCATTGCTACATTACTACCCACACATTTATTCCAATTTTCTCTTCAAGTTTACATTTCCTATTCCTGCCTCTTAAAGATGAACATTTCCCGAGGCGTAGGCCTTGGCCTTCTGCTTTTCTCTATAAATTCTTCTCCTGTGGGAAAGATCCTAACACACTGATTTCAACCCTTTTGTCTCATGGATGACTCATACATCTACAACCTTTCTTTCTTCAGCTTCAGTTCTATATATTTTTTTAATATATATTTTTATTGATTTCAGAAAGGGAGAGGGACAGAAACATCAATGATGAGAGAATCGTTGATCAGCTGCCTCCTGCACGCCCCCTACTGGGGATGGAGCCCGCAACCCGGGCATGTGCCCTGACCCGGGAATCGAACCATGACCTCCTGGTTCATAGGTCGATGCTCAACCACTGAGCCATGCTAGCCGGGCCAGTTCTGTATTTCTAACAACCCCCTAAAGACAGTTCACTACCATCTCAAATTGTACAAATCTTTTGGAGCTCTGAGCTCATTTTTGCTTTAAAACCAACTTACCCTCAGTCCCAACTTCCCAGCCTTAAGGAATTGGGAATCTTCCCTGATTCCTCCTAATCCTTTTCTCCCCTGGTCTGCTCTGTGACTAAGGATAATACTATCCAATTATTGTGACCTTGGTCTTCCCGCTCTCCTCTTTACTACCCAGCATTAAGACTATCCTATCTGCCCGTCCGTACGATCCTGTTCACTGTTGCCAGGTTAATGTTTCTGTAACATTTACTGAGTGCTTCCTTTACACAAAGCACAATGTCACACGCTGCAGGATCCAGAAATGAATCAAACAGAAGTCTGTTTAAAGTCTAATGAAGGGAGGGGAAGACTTGCATGTAAATAATTTCAGCTTTAAGTTAGAAAGTGGTAAGAACTGAACGGGTGCAGTATGGGTGTTCTGGGCAAAGGGAGAATGAAAGGGGAACAGCAGGAAATAAAGTTTTGCATCCAAGGTAATAACTTTGGCCTTTAATCTACGGACAACAGGGAGCCGGTGATTTTGGATCAGAGCTGTGCTTGATTAAACCACGGCAGCTGCAGGCGAGATGAGCTGGTAGGGCCTGGGCTGGAGGAAGGGCCTCGCTGAGGTGCCACATTTCCACTGTTCAGGGGATGACGACGGGAACTCTGGTAGCGGTTCTCAACCTGTGGGTCGCGACCCCTTTGGCGGTCGAACGACCCTTTCACAGGGGTGGCCTAAGACCATCCTGCATATCAGATATTTACATGACGATTCATCACAGCAGCAACATGACAGTTACGAAGTAGCAACGAAAACAATTTTATGGTTGGGCCACAACATGAGGAACTGCATTTAAAGGGCCAGAAGGTTGAGAACCACTGGATTAGGGGGAAGCAGTGGGTAACGTGGATGAATGTGAGAACTACTGCCGGGGCAGAACCGACCGAATTTAGTCACGGACGGGGGCAAGAAAGGAAATAAATGGCAGCGGGTACTGACATTCATGTATCCACGCTGGAAACTGGTGCTAGTATTAACAAAAAGGGTGCACAGTCTGGACAGCCATTCGGGAGGTAAGAGGCCAAGTCGTGCCCTCGCTGGTGTGGCTCCGTGGATAAATCGTGGGCCTGCAGACTGAAGGGTCCGGGGTTCCATTCCGGCCAAGGGCACATGTCCGGGTTGCGGGCGCGATCCCCAGTAGGGGGCGTGCAGGAGGCAGCCGATCAACGTTTCTGTCTCTCTCTTCTCCCTTCCTCCCTGAATTAAAAAAAAAAAATATATATATATATATTTTAAATATATTTTATTGATTTTTTACAGAGAGGAAGGGAGAGGGATAGTTAGAAACACTGATGAGAGAGAAACATCCATCAGCTGCCTCCTGCACACCCCCTACTGGGGATGTGTCCGTTAACCAAGGCACAGGCCCTTGACCGGAATCGAACCTGGGACCCTTCAGTCCGCAGGTCGACGCTCTATCCACTGAGCCAAACCGGTTAGGGATATATATATATATATATATATATATATATATATATATATATATATATATATATATATATATAATTTTAAAGAGGCTAAATCATGTTTGGGGTATTCCGCGTGTATACATACACCTGCAGAACATTGGAGAAGAAACTGGCCAAGCCCCTTGGAGGCTGCTGGGTCCTGACGAATTAGGCTGAAGAGGGTGGGGATGGGGTGTTTGGGCAAAAACACCTACGAAAGGGACTATGAACTCTTACGGCCGAGGCCCAACCTGGCAGGAGGTGAAGGCACCGCGTCCCTGAAGCCACCCGCTCAGCCTGGCGTCCTGCCGGAAGCAGCCTTTCCCTCCCTTCTCTGCAGAGTTCCCATCCTCCGTCCCTACCCGCCACCGGCTCCCAGTCACGGGGACTTAATACCCGGCGACGTCTTTTCCTGCACGGCCGCCCGGCAGGCGCCGAGCGCACAGGTCCCGTCATCGCAAGAGAGTCGCGTTCGGCGGTTGGCTCCGCCGACGGTTCAACTGTGGAAACCGCCGCACGCCGCGCCCCACCTATCGCGAGACTTGACAGGCGCACCTGCGCGGAGCTCGCCGGAAGCGGAAGTCGGGGCTGTCGGATTCCGTCTGACAGGAGTGGCTCCGCTACCTCGGGGAGGTGAGGTGAGTGTGGAGTCGCTCTGACGCGTGGGGGGCCGGAGGTGGGTTTCCTGCGCGTTTCGCCCGCCGAGCTCGGCCCGAGCTGAGGCGACACCGCGCTGGGCGGGTGAGTTGCCGGTTTGGGCGCCGGGAAGGAGGGAGGCGGTGGAGCCGCGGTGTCCTCGGTCTGCGGTTCCAGGTCCGGGCGCTTTCGCCAGATCGGAAGCTCCTTACCCTTCACGGCCAGTCGTTTCCTCCGCGCTGGACGTCCACGGTGCGCCCCTGGGAGACCGGTTCCGTTGGGCTTTGCGGGGGAGTGACCATCGCGGTGGCTTCCAGTCCTTACCTTCCTCTGTCTCACCTCCTGGGGCAGCGCAACCCCATTCTGCTGAGTCCTTTCCCAGGCAGCCGCCTGCAGCCAGAAGAGCTCGGTGTGGTTTTATTTGTGGTAAATAAACTAATGTTGGGGCACAGATCTGAAAGGCGGTGCGCTTGTATTTCATCGGGCAAGAACGTGAAGTTGTTGCTCGTGCTGGAGCAGGCTCATTGGCGTTGCAGGCCCCGAGGACACGCCTTCGTGTCATCATCTAGCAGCAGCTAGATTCTAGCTCTTCGCTCGCACTTGGTTGGTTTTGTTCATTCTCCCCCGAGGATTTGTTCCCGTTGACTTTTAGGGAGCGTGGGAGAGAGAGGGAAAGACAGAGAGAAACATGATGGAGAGGAACACAGCCATTGGTTGCCTCCTGGTCGCGGGGGAGGAGCCTGCAGCCAAGGTACCTAACCTTGACCGGAATCGAACCGAACCCGGGACCCTTTGGTCTGCGGGCCAGCGCTCTATCCGCTGAGCTAAACCGGCGAGGGCCTCGCTGGCTCTCGAGTTAGCGTTGGAAGGACTGGAGAGCGCATTTAATCCAACCCTTCAATTAACTGAAGCCCTTATGGCTCCTACCCACCACCCACCGCTTTTGAGGGTTTTCTTGAGAGTCATGTGTTTAAAAAAAAAAAAATTATTGACTTTTTACAGAGAGAAAGGGATAGAGAGTCAGAAACACCAATGAGAGAGAAACATGGATCAGCTGCCTCCTGCACACCCCCTACTGGGGATGTGCCCGCAACCAAGGTACATGCCCTTGACCGGAATCGAACCCGGGACCCTTCAGTCTGCAGGCCGAGGCTCTATCCACTGAGCCAACCCAGTTAGGGCGAGAGTCACGTTTTGTTTTGTTTTCCCTCCCACGGGTCTAGACAACCTAAACATTAAACAGCACAGCCTCAAATCCCGGGGATAAGTAAAGCTTGGATCAATTGAAATTCTATTTTTTTTTTATCTTAATTAAATTTCTTGCGGTAACATTGGTAAATAACATCCTATTTAAATTTCATTCTCATGAGTAATGCTAAATATGCTTACTTATGGGAGAACATAAAAATAGAACGGCACATTTGCCTTGCCTTAGGATTCTTACTGCCCATCTGGTTAGGTATGGGCCATCGTTCTGATGATTTCTGTGATCCCTATAGAAACTCAGACATGAATTTTAATTAGCGGAATTTATTCTAAATCATACATTGGATTTGAGATTTTTGACAGCAGTTTGCCAATCCCAGACCATGGAAAGTCTGGTGTTTAATAGGGATACTCTCTAAGACAGCAGTAGCCTGAAAGGTAAAACATCTCTGTTTCTTGCATCCGAGCAATGATTTCATTCTAATTTTGTTGGGATGAAGGTAGTATTACAAATATTTGCATGTTTGGAGGGATTTGGGGGAAAAGACAAACTAATGAAGCAGCCATTTTCCAATATCACATCTCTTTGTCAAAGACTTTGTCATATACATTAAAATACAGGAAGAAAAATAAGTTTGGGGATGTCAGATAAGAGGGAGATGTTGGGTTCAAAGTTTTAACACGGTGTCACAGGTGCCCCGAATCAGACAACAGGTTTTAGGAGTCTTGAGGCAAAGAGCAAAAGGATGGGTTTGGGTTCGGACAGGTAGAGGACGGGAATACTGACGCTGTTTGGTTGAAGAAGATGAGAGGTGAGGTCCACCTACAGAATCCTGCCAGGGCTGGCTTCCAGGATCTGGGTGAAGAGGAAAAGAAGTGAACTCTTTGTCCCCTGGTTTTTCTTTTTTTTTTTTTTTTTTTTTTTAAATATATTTTATTGATTTTTTACAGAGAGGAAGGGAGAGGGATAGAGAGTTTGAAACATCGATGAGAGAGAAACATCGATCAGCTGCCTCTTGCACAACCCCCCAGTGGGGATGTGCCCGCAACCAAGGTACATGCCCTTGACTGGAATCGAACCCGGGACCCTTCAGTCCGTAGGCCGACGCTCTATCCACTGAGCCAAACCGGTCAGGGCCCCTGGTTTTTCAAGAACTAGGCCTGTGCAGCCTAAGCCAAACCTTTTCTTAGATGCAGAGGGCTCTCTAAAAATGTGGATTATTGAGTGAATCCATAATTGTCCAGGAAAACCCAGCTGATACATATTGCAGGGTTTTTTTTTTAAATATATTTTTTTATTGATTTCAAAGAGGAAGGGAGAGGGAGAGAGAGATAGAACATCAGTGATGAGAGAATCATTGATCAGCTGCCTCCTGCACGCTGCCTACTGGGGATGGAGCCCACAACCCAGGACATGTGCCCTTGATGGGAATCAAAACCGGGACCCTTCAGTTCACAGGCTTCCACTCTATCCACAGAGCCAAACCGTCCAGGCCAGATTGCAGTTCTTATAGCCATTAGACAACATCTATAGTAGTTACTTTTCATTCGTCAGCGAATCTGGGACAAGAATACGTTGGATAGCATCCTCAAATACCTACTCTAGATTTTGCATTTTTTAAAAATTAGCTCTTTTTTTCTCTCCCTTTAAATAATCTCGGGTATTTTATCCTGGGATAAATAAGAGCTAGGCTTCCAGTAACCCCTTAACCATGACCCTGTCTTTTATTCCTTTTTTCAGTCAAGTTCCTGAAAGCTTAAGCCTATAATCAGTGTAGATTTCTACTTCCTTACCTTCCAATTACTTCTCCATTAATTGTAATCCTCCTTCAATCTGTACTTCTCTAAAATAATCACCTCCTAATGGCTAAACCCAATTAATTTTCTCTTCCTGGTTCTGTCACTGTACTATTCAACACTGATGACCATTCACTTTTTATCCTCGCCTTCTGTGATCTCTTCTGGTTTTTATCTGTGTGTGTCTTTATCAGTGTACTAGAGGCCCGGTGCACAAAAATTTGTGCACTCGGGGTGGGGGGTGGGGGTCCCTCAGCCCGGCCTGTGCCCTCTCACAGTCTGGAACCCCTCGGGGGATGACCACCTGCTGGCTTAGGCCCACTCCCTGGCGGGATTGGGCCTAAGCTGGCAGTCAGACATCCCTCTGGCAGCCCGGGAGCCCTCAAGGGATGTCCACTTGCCAGCGGGGAGCAGGCCTAAGCTGCAGTCAGACATCCTTAGTGCTGCTGAGGCGGCGGGAGAGGCTCCCACCACCACCACTGTACTGGCAGCCGTCAGCCTGGCTTGTGGCTGAGCAGAGCTCCCCCTGTGGGAGCACACTGACCACCAGGGGGCAGCTCCTGCATTGAGCGTCTGCCCCCTGGTGGTCAGTGTGTGTCATAATGACCAGTCATTCCCAGTCGTTCTGCTGTTAGGGTCAATTTGCATATCACCCTTCTATTATATAGGATGTTCTCCTATCCCTTCTTTATCTTCTACTGTGATGTTCTCCAGGATTCTGTTCTTTGGTATTCTTATTCCTACTCCTGAGGAATCCATTCATTCTCACAGCATTAATCACCAACAAATTTGCTGTTGTCCCCATATTCATCTTCAAACCAGTTCTCAGTCCCAAATAGTTAACTTTGAACTTACTCTCCCAAGTGGATGTATGTACTTTTTTTCCTCTCATTTCAGAGAGGAAGGGAGAGGGAGCGTGAGAGAATCATTGATCAGCTGCCTCCTGCAGGCCCATTACTGGGCATCGAGCCCGCAATTTGGGCATGACCAGAATCAAAACCAGGACCCTTCAGTCCACAGGCCAACACTCTATCTATTGAGCCAAACCAGCTAGGGCAGGATGTATGTGCTTTAGCTAACTTCAAGTGTATATCTTCACCCATCCTTCTTTCTATAGTTCCTATGGCACCATAACCTATCCAGTCATTTAGCCAGAAGCATGGGAGTTATCCTTTATTTCCTCTTCTCCTCCCAATATCTAGTCAGTGATTAATGCCTCCTGAAATTCTTTTAAAACTACTCTCACAGCCCCTGCCTCAGATTAAGCCCTCAGCATGTCTCCTGCATTATTGCAGTAATCTGCGTTTAGTCTAATCTCGCTAGTCTATCTCTACCCTCTTAGAAAAGTGATCTTTCTAAATAGTAAATTTGCTCTTGAGACTTCCCTGCTTAAACTACCTATGATTCCCCATTGCTACCAGAGAAAGTGCAAAGTTGTCTGGAATACGAAGTTTTTCACAATTTGACCACTGTCTACTTTTCCAATTTCATCTCTTCATATTCACTTCTCCCTTTATATTTACAACATATCTGTTTGTTCTACTAGACTAAGAGCCCTTTGGGGGCAGACTCCGTGATATATTGTTCATCTTTGTATCCCACGATTCTGGTTAGCACAGTACCTGTATTATAATAATCAAGAAATACTCAATTGAATGTCTAGAATACCCTGTCTGAAATTGTTTACTTCTTGGTTTTTCCACTGGTAACATAGTGTTACTTTTAAAAAAAAAAAAAAAACTCTAATAGAAACATATTTTTTTTTCAAGAGATATATCAAAAGTGCTTTATTCAAAGTAATGTTCATCACTAGCTACACATTTCCCCCATCTTTCAGGTATTTGGTGAATACTGTCCCAATAGAACTTTTCTTGTTTTGAGGCAAACCATTCAGAGACCCCATTTTCCACATCTTTGTATGTTTTGAAGTGCTAAAGTATGATGAAATGCCATCGATTGGAAAAAGTGGTCATCTGAAGGAGCAAGGTCTGGTGAATACAACGCATGCATTAATACTTCCCAGGCAAGATCTTTTAACGTGTCTTTAACTGGTTTTGAAATGTGTGATGGTGCGTTATCATGAAGCAAAATTACGTTGCTGTGTCTTCTAGAACATTCTGGTTGTATCATGATCAAAGCGTGGTTCAAATTGATTGTTGTCGGTAGCGATCAGTATTAAAGGTTTTACCTGGTTTTAGAAGCTCATAATACACCACACCTTCCTGATCCCACTAAACACAGAGCATTGTCTTCTTTCCGAAGAGATTTGGCCTTGCAGTACATGTTGATGGTTGACCTGGATCAACCCATGATTTTGTGCATTTGGGATTCTCAAAGTAAATCCACTTTTCATTGCCAGTCACAACTTGATGCAAAAAAAGACTTTCTTTGGTGCCATCGAAGAAACATTTTACTGATGACTTTTCGGTTTTCCATTTGTCTTTCATTCAGTTGATGTGGCACCCATTTGCCTTCCTTTAAAATCTTTCCCATTGCTTGTAAATGACTGGAGATTGTTTGCTGAGCAATGTTTAATCTTTCTGCAAGTTGTTTTTGAGTTTGACACGCATCTTCACCCAATAATGCTTGTAATTGTTGGTTTTCAAACTTTTCTGGTTGACCTGAACGTTCTTTATCTTTCA